AGCAAAGATATCACTAGTGGATGATATGATGTATCTGTCTAGCATCCTATCTTGCTCTCATCTAGAATCAAATACCTTTTCCCTGTAGGCAGAAGCTGATCCAGTTCAGTATCAGCAACAAGATGGACTCAAGACCTGGGCCAGGCCAATCAGAATATCATACTGTCCTGGCCTCAGTAACTGACATAAACATAAACATAAACGTAAACATATAAAGACACTAAGAAGTCAAGATCTTGTTGTACCTTGGATTCTGTGGAAAACTTTTAGGAAAATTAAGAAGTAGCTCTGCTTCTCATTTCCTAAGTCCATTTGTGAAATCCTGCCTTAAACCTAACATTTTTGGGGGATTGCAGTAAAGGATTTGTAATTTTTAAACTTTATTTCATTCTTAAATGCAACCCACAAAAATGCATAGATGTTAAATGTATACTTTAATAAGTTACTTGATTATGAAGTAAAACCAAATAATTATAAAGACAAGTGCAGCTACCACCCAGGTTAAGAAACAGAATACTTGGGGCACCTGGGTGGCTCAGTGGGTTAAGTGTCTGCCTTTGGCTCGGGTCATGATCTCAGGGTCCTGGGATTGAGCCCCACATCGGGCTCTCAGCTTGGTGGAGAGCTTGCTTCCCCCTCTCTCTCTGCCTTCTGCTCTGCCTACTTGTGATCTCTCTCTCTGTCAAATAAATAAATAAAATCTTAAAAAAAAAAAAAAAAGAAAGAAACAGAATACTTTCAATACTCTTAAAGATCCTGGTATGTCCCACCCCAATCAGTCAAGAAATCACTATCCTGACTATCAATAATCGCTTTGTTGGTGTTATTTATACTTTCCATCTAGGTAGCATCCTAAAAATAGAATTTAGTTTTGTCTGCTATTGAACTTTATATGAAATGGAATCATACCAAATAATACCAAGTATACTTTGTTTTCTAACTAAACAATTATGTTTGTATGATTCATTCACATTAACTTACATTGTGTAAAACATTCGTTTCATTGATATAGTGTTCTAGTATTAAATATGTCACAATTTTTCCACTTTAATGTCTAATTACAATTATAGTATTAAACATTCTAATAGTGGACATTTGAGTTGTTTGTTATAAACACTGATCCTGGGACAATTCTAATACACAATTTTGGTATACATGTGTAAAGATTTGACCAAGATGCGTATCTAGGAGTGGAATTGCTAGGTATGCATATCTTTGTCAGATAAAGCCTTCGGTTTCCAAAGGAACTGTGCCTAGTCATAGTGTTTTTAGAAAATTCAATAATTTTAAACATTCTGGACTATCCCAAAATAATCCTTTCTGCAGTTGAAAAGCTCCCATACATGCCCATAGTAGTTAGTATACATTCAGTAATTTAACCTTAAAAAAGAACATGATTTGGGGGTGCCTGGGTGGTTCAGTGGGTTAAAGCCTCTGCCTTCAGCTCAGGTCATGATCTCAGGGTCCTGGGATCGAGGCCCACATCGGGCTCTCTGCTCAGCGGGAAGCCTGCTTCCTCCTCTCTCTCTGCCTGCCTATCTGCCTGCTTGTGATCTCTGTCTGTCCAATGAATAAATAAAATCTTTAAAAAAAAAAAAAAAGAACATGATTTTCTGAAGGTGAAGAAAAGTATATGTCACATAAAAAAATTTAAAACTACTTGAGAGTATGTTAGCAAAATATATTGGGTTAAAAATTATTTAAAATATTTTATATGATTTTTAGAATAAATGAAATATATAAAAGGACATTATTATATTTCCAAATAAGTAATAATTAATACTACAGTGATGATATTACTTATCTGTGCTATAACATTCTTGACCAACTATAAAGGATAAATTTCTTGTAATTCTATCAATAGTTATAATAGCATCTACTGTGATAATTCTTCTACTGCTTAAAATACATGTTACAAAGCTATTATCAAAGCATCAAGAAATTTCCAAGCTCCAAGAGAAGCTAATTATTACTTATAACTACTTAGACAATGGAAAATGTTAAAAATTCTAAACTTTTGTTTTTTGAATACTTTCACTTCTGATCTTTCTTTCCTCTTAGGCAGTGAATGTGAAATATAAATGACCATGAGGGAGGAAAAGACAGCATCCCCAAAAGAATCAGGTTCTGGCAATGATTAATATGGAGCTGCCAAATGATGTCTGGCAGCAGAAAGAAGCAAGAAGCAACTGCTTATGTAACTGATGAAAAATTAGTAACACCCTAATAACGTATCTCCCTAGAACCTGAGATAGTGTATTTGATGAATTATTTAAGCTAGAATGTATTCTTCTACCTGTTTACACCACAGAGGCAAAAATAGAAAAAAGACAAAAATTACAGTTAATTTCTCTCATTTGAATTAGTTAATGGATGGGTTGGTCAGTTAATGGAATATGCTAATTAAAAGAATTATTGCATATACTCTCAATTAAAAATTACAATAATGTTTTTCATTAACGCTATGATGAGTATTAGTGAAACTTTCCTGAAAGGTTCTAAAGGTATTTCTATATTTCCAGTTGTTTTTATAAACCATGGCAACAACTGCATAATTCTATTATTGTAGAAAGTGTGCAAAACTGGACTATATTTCTATCCATCTTGTGACATATTTTGAAAGCAGGTTTAAAGTGCTGACTTGGCATGTGACCCTTATCATATGAGATAGATAATATAGAAAAAAAATCCTAGGTATTTGAGTTTTCTAGTTATCTGGATCACTGACTCTTTTGTCATGGGGAGGTATTTCCCAATAAATATGAACTCATACTTAACCCTCTGTTAAATCCAAGGACAGATATCCCCGGGAGATGTTCTTCTCACTGAAGTTTAACCAATCTATTGTAATGTGTTTAACAGGGCTTCAGGTCTAAAATGTTAAATAAACTGATATACGCAAAGATTACTTTGTAGAAGATGAAATTTCACCACCCATGGCTTTAACTTCAACTCTCATCAGAGTGATTAGAGGAAAGGTGATTCCAAACCTTGGTGAACACACACATGTCACTGCATGCAGTGCAGTCTCCAGGCCCCTGTGTAAGAGAGCTGACTACGTCAGACACTCGGTGGCTTTAGTAGCAGAACAAGGGCTCTGGGAATTTGTGACCATAAAGTGCTTGATTATCGCAGGCAAGAGCAAGAAGATGGGCCACGGAGATGTCAAAGAAAGAAGGCTAAGAGGAAAAGATCAAGAAGACCATAAACAGATGATAATGCAAAGGTGGAAGAACTTAAAGTTAAATAAAGTGATTTATCACAACAGAACCACTGTATATCATTATTATCATCAGAATCAAGTTCAGAATTAGCACTGTGAATCTACTGTAATCACTCTTCATTTCCAGAATGCAAACTTAAAAGAAACGTTTTTGCTTTAAACTTGTCAGACCTCTTTGCTGAGTGTGACAGCAGACACGGCTTCCACCCTACTGAAAATCTGAAATTTGCCTAGAATTTCTATTCCTCATCAGCCCTTAAATATCTGGAATTCCTGGGCTCTGGAATTCTATTTTTCTTAGATGATCCGATCTACTCTTGTGATTTCAGTTGTGATTTCTTCCTCATCATCAGTCTCCAGTGTCTACCTTGTTGGTGGACAGCTTCATTCAGATGTCCCCCAAAATATCCCAAACTCAAAGAATTCAAAACAAAATTCATCATCAACTCCTAATCATTTTTCGCCATTCAATCTCAATGGATGTATTTTCTATCTCAGCTAAAAATACCATCAGTCAAAGAAAAAAAAAATACCACAAGTCATCCAGTCACCAAAGCTAGAAAATTAGACGTTACTTTCGACTCTTCCTTTGTTAATCCTTCCATAAAACTTACCAATTTTGTATCCTGCATGTTTCTTAATTAAGCTTCTTTCTCTCTGGGTCTCAACATCTCTCATTTATATTGCTATTTCCTAACTGGTCTCTCTGCTGCTGCTTGTCCCCTTTAATTTCGCCCTCCCCAAGGGTAAAAGAAGAATTTATCTGAAATGAACATCTAACTATCCTTCCCTTGCTTCAAACTGATTAATGGCTCCTCACTCGCTTTAGAATAAAGCCGACGTTTCTTGACATGATTACAGAGTCTTTATGGTTTGGTCCCTGCCCATCTGACCATTTTTATCTCAGACCTGTCTTTGTATGCATTTCCTATAGTAGCTGAAAAGAAACTGTAATTTCATATTTGTTCCCTTTATATACTGTGACCTTCTGTGTTTCCATATATTTACTCACATTGTTCCTCTACTTCAGCTATCTCTGTTCCCTCCCTTTCCCAACCTCAATTACTTCTGTCTGGGCAAGGATACCATCTCCTCCAGAAAGTCTTTCCTGAAAGTCCTGGCAGAGCTGGGTTGGGTAATTCTTCTCTCTGTACTCTTACTCTGTGTATTGCTTTTACTTATAGCACACTATAAGTTCTCCTTTAGTGAAAATCAGAAAAAGCAATAAAGACATGGAGAAAGAATAAAAATAACAAGTATGTGCCTACAGTACTTGCGCTCTATCCTGAACCAGAGGGCCTTTGGGAACACAAATGATAAATTATTCGTATTTGTAATCCCACTTCCTAGCCAAGCACTGACAGGCTGATGATCAATACATGTTCTGTTAAATGAAGGTGACTGAGATGCAAAAGAGTATACAAAAATAAATTGTAGAAAAGATAAGACTTCCTTGCCATATTCCTTCATAATGGCTCTAGTCCAGCTTGTATCTGAGCAGCTACATTGACTTCTTTCATTCTAGAGGGTTCTCATTAAAAATAACTCCAAATAACCAATGTATCCCCTTCTTGTCGGCATTATTAATTCAATTGAGAAACTGTCCTGTACCTGACATCAGATCTTTTACTTTCTCAACAAAGGTACATTTTTAAAAAGAGGTGCCATGTGTAATCTCCATCAGATAAATGGAAAATAGGACAGAAGAACAAAACCAAGTAGAAAATAAAATAAACTTGGCAGCACCATGCCATTTATCACATGGAAAATTACTCACATGCAGGAGCAATACAGCAGCCAGAAAAGACTGTCCTTGACAGTACCCGATGTCTTCATCATAGACAGAGTAGGCCTAGAGAAAAGATGAAGAGAAAAAAGTACTATACACATTCATAGATTTTAACATAAGTTAACATTGACCCTGGGCTGTCCACCACATTTTCACTGGTACTTCAACTTAAATGTGTGAGTCATTAGCACAGTGGGATCCCCCAAAGATGTTGTACAGTTCCTAAAGCAATTCTAGATGTCCCATTATCCCCGGGTTCATCTTTAGAATCTGGAAAAAAGAGATGCTCACAGCACCTAATTTTAAAAAGTTCCATTATGGTTTGTAGTCAGGCAAATGATACCATGGGAGGCTGAAGCAAAGAGTGGAAGAGGGCAAGAAGGTCTAGAGTCGATGTGGGAGTTTTGATGCAAAGACAAACATCCCAGTTGTGCTGTTTGAGTCCTGGACATGTATCCCATTACATGGGTCCCATCTATGTGTTGTGCTTCATTTCAGTGAGGGGTTTTCCATTTAATGTGCTTAATAAAACGCATTATGATTTTGTGAGTATAAAAGCTGTCTCTGGGCAGGGCGGGGGTTCGTGGGGGGAAGGGAGGGAGAAATGAAACAAGATGGGACCGGGGAGGGAGACAAACCATAAGAGATGCTTAGTCTCAGGAAACAAACTGAGGGCTGCTGGCGGGGGGTGGGGGAAGGATGGGGTGGCTGGGTGATGGACATTGGGGAGGATGTGTGCTATGGTGAGTGCTGTGAATTGTGTAAGACTGAGGATTCACAGACCTGTACCCCTGAAACAAATGGTACATTATATGTTAATTAAAAAAAAAAAAAAAAAGCTGTCTCTGTCTAGGGCAGTGGTTAGCAAAGATCACTAGGAAGAGTTACCATGGGGAGGAGGCTAAGTGTGGTAGCTTCCATATGCCAAGGTAGTCAGCGTACGGGTACTGGAAATGCATTCATATAATATAAACTTTTCTGTGTCTGGCTTCTTTTACTCAGTATAATGTTTCAGAGATTCCTCCACATTGTTGCCTGTTAACAGCAAGTCATTCCTTTCCATGGAGGAGTATTTCACTGTGTAAACATTCCACAACTTATCCTTTCTCCGGTTGAACATTTGGATTTTTTCATGTTTGCTTAGTATGACTATAGCTGCCATGTATACACAAGGGTCTTTTATGGATATAGGTTTTCATTCTCTTTAAGTAATGACCCAGGAGGGAAAGTTCAAGGTTTAAATGCCAAGTGCATGTTTAACTTTATAACGAAGTATCTTCCATAGAGGTTGTAAGTCAAGCATCACACCCACACCAGCAAGCTGTAAGTACTCACTGCTTCACATCCTTGTCAATATCCCACCCTGCCAGTCGGTTTTCCTTTTCTCAATCCCTGTGGTTTTGATTTGCATTTCGCTAAATGCTAACAATGTAGAGCGGATTATCATGTGCTTTTAGGCAATTGATACATAGTCTTTTGTGACTGTCTGTTCAAGATTTTCCCACTTGTTTAATTAGGTTGTCTTACTACTGTTGATTCATGGAAGTTCTTAATACATTCTGTTCATGAGTCCACTGTCAGACAGATTGTCAATATTTTCCCCCTATCTGTGCCCTGCCTTTTCACCTTCTTAATGGTGTCTTTTGAAGTACTATTGTTCTCTTTTAATCTTCTGCTAATGATGATAATATCATACTCTCTCCTAATGAGAGAAAAATTAGATCATGCAAACATTACCTAATGAATCTGAAAGAAGCTTTTCCTTCATTATCACCAATTTCCAGAGCTCTGCCTAATTTTAAAAATTGAAAGATGCATTAGCATCCTTTTACTCGTTTAATTTTCTTTGATTTATACAGTTACGTTTCTGATTGCTTGATTTGTACTTTTATCCAGACCTCATGATGGGTGTGTGTATCAGGGGTTGGAGGAAGGGCTAGAGAGAGAATAGAAAAGGAACAAAAAAGGAAGAGAGAGGCAAAACATTCTAATACTATCCCAATCTGAAGCATTCGTGATAGTGCTCTGTCACTACCTTTTTCATGAACAAGGAATTCTGGGATTTGCTGATGAGAGAGGGTGTAATATGAATGATGAATATATTTTCAAGGCTTTGCTTCCCCCATAAAAGATGTCAGCTAAAGGTTCCTTGAAACTGTGGATCTCCGAAAGCCAGTCATGCTTCATCAACCCTGACATCATTTAACAAATGTCTGATCTATTTACAGAAGTATATTTAACATTTATTGAGAAGTGTGCTGTTTATAGTCTCAGCATATAAGTTCAACAGAAGATGCAGGTCCACGACACAATAGCCAGAGGAGGTCTGAATTAAGTGACTCCAGAGACTACTCTCTAATTAGAGGGCTAAGGACGAAAGTACAAATCAGCAAAGCGATGATCTTACTTTCTACTTGTTTTATGGTTTTTAAGTTAGGTTAGAAGCAAAAATGACTTTTCAGAGGCCACCTACTAAATTGATTTTACAATTCACAGACACAAAAAACAGTGTCCTAGGGGTGCCTGGGGGGCTCAGTCAGTTAAGTGTCTGACTTTTCCTCAGGTCATGATCTCGGGGTCCTGGGATTCAGCCCTGCATCGGACTCCCTGCTCATCGGAGAATCTTCTTCCCCATCTCCCTTTCTCTGCCCCTCCCCCTACTCATGCTTGCTCTCGCGCGCACGCTCTCTCTCAAATAAATAAGACTTTATTTAAAAATAAAGTAAAATAAATCAAAAACAGTGTTCTAGCAAGTTCTTTCCCTCAGAGTTCTTCCAAGCACTGTTTGGCTTTCGTCTAAGCCTTCTCTAACTGGGGTGAACTGAATCCTTTCCCTCTATTTAAAACTTGCCCCTCTTTGCACCAAACCTCTCCCCAGTTCCTTACTTTAATTGCATCTCTAGCCAGATGCCTGCTCAGTCTAACTTTTAAAAAACATCTGGGTACCACTTCTGTGATGGAGGAGTAGCTCCTACTGGGCCAATCTTCCCTCTGGCAATAAATTTAAACTATATCTGCACAAATACATAAAGCAGTTAACCTGAAGACATTGATGACCTAAACGAAAGCAGTCAGAACCTGGAGGGGAGAACAGACTCAGGAGAGGGGATTGACAGTGGTAAAATTCCCATTCTGTACGGGTTTTGTGACGATCAGGCACCAGTGATACCACACTGGATGGCTAAAACTTGGACGTGAAACTGCAGTCTTATTGGGTTGAAGAACCAGAGAACAGATTAGGAGAACAGCTAGAAAGGAGAGTGGATATTCTGGAAAAAGGAATAACAGAATAGAAGCCTTTACTATACTTACTCTAAAATTATAATACTCAAGCCAGTAAAAAATTGATACAAGGACAAAAAAAATTAGTAAACAGTAAAAGTCTAGAACTATAAGCACACTTACAAAGTCATCTGATTTCAACAAAGTTACCAAGATAATACAATGAAGAAAATAAAATTGATTATATATGTAAACATGTAAGTATATGAAAATTGTTTCAATGAATATACTCAAAAAGTTGGATATCCATATGGGGAAAATAAATGATTCTTAACACCTATCTTACTTCATACACAAGAATTAATTTCAGACTTATCACAGTTCCAAACATAAAACTCAAACTATGAGGCTACTCAATGAAAAGATTATCTTTGTAACTTAGTGAAGGCAAGGGTTTTTTAGGACATAGAAGCACTAACTACAAAAGAATAAACTGATACAAATACATTATCAAATTTAAAAAACCTCCAGTAAGGAAAAGACACTGTTAAAAAAATAAATAGGTGAACTACAGACTGGGAAAATATTTGCAAACATATCTGGAAAAGGTCCTGCATCATATACATAAAGGACTCCTACAACTCAATGTCAAACCTCAACTTTTAAAAACAAAGATTTGAAGAGATACTTCACAGAGGGTTATCAATGAATGGCCAGTAAGAAAATGGCCAAGTGTTCAACATTATTAGTCAATAAATTAAAATAAATTAGAGCCATAGTGAGATATTACTACGTGGCCACCAGAAACTAAAATTAAAAACACTGATACACCAAATGCTAGTATCCTTGGATTCTCAAACATTGTCGGTAGGAGTATAAAACAGTGAAACTACTTTGTAAAAATGTTTGACAGTTTTCTAGAAAACTAAACATACACCTACCCTATGACTCAGCAATTCCGTATTTATGCATTCACCCAAGAGAAATGAACGCAAATAATACAAGAAAGACTGATACAGGGCTAAGACGTATTTCTAGCAACTTTATTTGTAATAGCCCCAAACTGTAAGCAGCCCTCAGATATCCCTTATCGGGAAAGTGTATTCATACAACGAAGCACTCCTCATCGGCAGAAAGTAATGAACCATGTACACCTGCAATACGCAACAATCTCAGACTATTATGCTGTGTGAACTACATCTTATATGAAAATGATTCTCCTCTCTGGGCCCACTAATATAAATTTCTACAAGTCAAAGCGATATAGGGTTAAAAAAAAATCAAAACACCTGGTAGTGGGCATTATGGAGGGCACATATTGCATGGAGCAATGGGTGTGGTGCATAAACAATTAAATTGAAAAAAAAAACAAAATGAAGATTGCTTCTGGGGGAAGGTCAGGGATTAACTGTGAAGACACGAGGGAACTTCTATGTCTTGGATCCCACAAGTAGATGCACTTGTCAAAATTAATGAAATGGCACTCCTAATACTCGTGTACTTCACTGGGAGTAAATTGTACCTACAAATGAAAACTGTTAGCAAATACCAAGCTCTAGGTAATAATACACATGTTGTACTATCAGGCATAAGATACAAAGACATAAAAAGCAATTCTGAAAAGCCTTAAAATATTAAAATGGATTAACTGAATAGAAAGGTAGATGGAACGACAGATAAATGGCAAAGAAAATGTAACAAAATATTACCTATAGAACCTAGGTGGTGGGTTGATGGATGTTTCCTGTACAGTTCTTTGCACTTTTCTATATATTTGAAAATTTTGTAACAGTTTTGGGGAAAAAAAAAATCTGGGGCTGCACCCTGTCTCTTGTCTCTGC